CATAGAAAAACCTCCATGTTTCTCTGCAATCAGTGGTATGACTAGTAAACGCTCTCATGGGAGATCTTGTTAGAAATTTGACGGAGGTCTGTAAATAGGGTTAATATTTTACTTAGGCAACAGGACAAGGCAGTGTATGTTCTTTCAAATGTAAAAATAAATATCAGAGAAATAGGCCAAGCACTTATTTCATCTTCTTGTAGGTATCCTGCAGTATACGTGTTCTTATTTACTATTTGTATTGCATATAGAAGCCCCAACAAAGATCTGGGCCCCACTGTGCTCAGTACTTTTTGTATGTGCGCATAGTGAGCGTCCAGGCCTGCCCCAGAGAGTTTACATGCTAAATAGAAAAGGGAAAACAGGTACAGAGCAGAGAAGTGGCTTACCCAAGTCACACAGTAGTGGTTCAGCTATAGAAGCAGGAATAGAACCCAAGCCTCATGAGTCCCTATCTAGAGTGCTATCCATTATACCATGTGCCTTCTCAGTTCATTATACAAAGTTTAATTAGCAGTTTGTTCAAGGGACAGTTGGGCAAGTCACATATTTTTAGGTAGATTTCCTTACCTGTGTTATTATATTATTAAGATAAGAAGGATTTTTAAAATTGAATGTACTTCTCACTGTTATTGCTGATCCTTTACTTGGCACACTTCACTGAGTTTGGAAACTCAGGGTGGTCAGTTTGCTTTATTTATAGACTATTTCTGACCACTTTCACTTTCTGGTTCTAATGCACCAGCACACTAGTCTAATGTCTAGGTTGCAAACACAGCCAGGGGAGTGCTTAAATCCAAATTTAAGATTATTTTAATTGGGTATTAAAATTATAGGGCTATTTTCATTGATCCTTGGATTTATAAAACCTTATGTTTTGCATCTAAAGTGATCTGACACTGTCCTTTGAAAATTTCGTAACATATTTTAGGCTTTTCCTAGGATAAAAGGCACTGTATGAATGTAAAATGTTGTAAATGAATCCTTACACACTGTAGTCAGATCTCATTTCTGCTACATCCCCATTTAAATTCTGCATGTTTTCATTTATATAAAGATAATGGACCAAATTCTGCTATCAGTTACATCAGTGCAACTCCCCCAAATTCAATAGTGCTTACCAGTGGATAAACATTTTGTAATTGCTGATAGATAAACAGAATAACCAAATTTTATGTACTGTTTCCTATGTTCTAGTGTGACGTGTTCTTACTACACGGTTTTCTAGTTTGTTGAGTGGTAGAAAACTGAAATATCCAAATTGTCCATCTGAGTGAGTTGGGTTTCTGCTAGGATTCTGTATTTTATTTGTAAATGTGTGTGGATACACATGGAGAGGCTGGACATGTCTTCTGCGCTGTAGTCATCTGGAAAATGCTTCACACAAAAAGTCTAAAATGAGATTACAGAAGGTCTGTTCAAAGCTTGCGCAGGGTCCCATATATGTCCCACACAGTCAGTGCCTGCAGGGGTTTATTAGTCACTCTGACACTCAGACCATTTGTCGTTTTATTTAAGAGCTTGGTTAAGTGCTTGTGGCATTGTTTGTTTACTTGGTAACAGTCACTTTATCATATGGAAAACATAGAATACCATAAGTTACAAGTCATTATAAAACACCTTGGCTTTTGTAATATTGGTCATTGCAAGGCATCATGTTAGAGCTGCTTTTATATGTGATGGGTATGGTTGCACAATATTGAAAACCTGAAGAAATCTATAAAGACAATAATTGAAAATGTTAGGACTGATGTACAGGAGAACTACTGCAATGATAGGTGTGAAAACCAATTCTAGTCCATCTTCTGCCTTTACTTTCTTGGGCATACCTAAGTTGTCAGTCAGGGCAGACCAGAGCCTCTTACTAATAAAAGTCAGTAGAAAAGGGGTGTGTGTGTGTGTGTGTGTGTAAGGTATGTACATGCACATATTAATATTGCTGTGACTGCTGCAGACCAGAGCCTCTTACTAATAAAAGTCAGTAGAAAAGGTGTGTGTGTGTGTGTGTGTGTGTGTGTGTGTGTAAGGTATGTACATGCACATATTAATATTGCTGTGACTGCTACTGCCCATACTAGGCAGTTACATAAATATGTTTAATATTACAGCACTGTTTTTCATGGATTAAGCAGAATGGTCAATCTTTCTTTTACACTGAGAGAACACTATAAGTCTCCCTGTTTATCACAGAGTTAAACTTGTTTTGGACTTTTTGGGGAGCACTATACTAGCAAAGAGCCCAATCCCGAAGTCCCTATTATGTATCCTCTGCTGAATATGGACCAAGAAAGAATTACAGGATCTGGCACCAAAACAAATAACTGAAATTCTGTGGCTGTGTTACAGTACAGCAAAGACAGTAGCTGGTAAGACACCATCACATAACTCTGTGTAATAGAGTATTATCTTGCCGCATGTCTCAAGGTGGTAGAAAATTGCTGTTTCACTTTATTAACAACTGCTAACTTCTGAAAAGAGCAGTCTTTGGACACTTGGATTTTGCTAAAGCAAACTGAAGCCAATTCTCAGGAAGAGGGAGAGGAAGCATGTCCCACTTATAACAAACTATAAACGTGTGTCCAGCTGCATTTCAAGGAACTGCCGTTAGATTTCAGGAAACCAGAATGTTTACCCCAATAGGAATTTCTCCCTGTTTGTTTTATTGTATTTATTCTGGGGAAGGGGAAGGGGAGGGAAGGAGCAGTACAGTTAATTTTATCTGCTGCTTCATCAGCACAGTAGTGAATGAAATGAAAGCAGCAATGGAATCACCTTTGGGACACTGTCTGTGCAAGGTGTTAAACTAGAGAAGGAGGAATAATTAAAACAGTTGGCCAGAGGGTAGAGAATCATTTTATATTTCAGTGATGTCATGTGTAGCAGTGTTGGTTACAGCTCCTCTTACAGGGTTGGCAGCAAGCGGGAGGAGAGAGTGGCAAGGTGCTCACAGCAATCAGAGGGTGGAGGGTATCAGGGACTATTTGTCATCTGTTTAACACATGAGGACATGATTTGGAATCCCATTAAACTATTAAGAATAAAGATATCCATTAATTGGAATGTAGTGAGATGTCCCAGCTATTTCTTAATCCCATAAATTCTTTAAAAAAACCAAAACCTTAATGACTTGCAATATTGTTGTTCTGTTCTAGAAAAATTGTTCTTTATATTATTTTTATGGCTGTTTGTTGCCTGAAAATCCTTTATGGGTTTGGATGGCCAAAATTTCTATCAAGTTGGGTTTCTAGAGACTATAAAATATCTAAGGGAGTAATTTAGAGTCTGTGACTCAGGTTTGGGTTATTATCTGTTTCAGATACTCACTGACAGCCTGCCAATGTCTGGAGGGGACTGAAATGGGAAACTCTCCCCAGCAGAGATTAGGGCTAACAATGGCACTGACAGAAGGAGAGAGAGAGAGAGAGGGAGAGAGAGAGGATGGTCTTGGAGTTAAGCTGTTGGGCAGAAAGTCAGGAGATCTGGATTGAATGCCTGGCTCTGCCCAGACAGCTCGTGTGACTTTGGGCAAATCATTTAATCTCTCTGGGCCTCCGTTCCTGGTCTGTAAATTGGGGATGATATTTCCCTATCTCCCAAGGGTGCTGGGAGAATAAATGCATCAATGTTTTTGGTGGGCACAAATACTTCAGTGAGGGGACTCATAATAAATACCTAACTCGATAGCTTCCTTAAGGGAAACTACCGGTCTCTCCATGTCTGTATTTCACACTGACAGCAAAAAGAAAAGGAGTACTTGGGGCACCTTAGAGACTAACCAATTTATTTGAGCATAAGCTTTCGTGACCTACAGCTCACTTCATCGGATGCACTGACAGCAGCAGCCAGTCTACAGCAAAGTATCCGTGAGATCCTTGAAAACTAAGAGGTGGAAGTTTTTCATTTTTCAAGTTACAACAACACAATTAAACCCATCTTCACTGTTCTCCTTACAGCTGAAAACAACATGTCCTGGTTATGTCTAATGGGCAAGTCATTAATACCAACTCGACCACTGATTTTGGATTTGAATTGAAAGTATTAAATGCTCAGCCAAACGGACACAAAGGTGGAATGTGTATCAAAGGGGAGGGGAGGAGGCATCTTCGACTGCAGACAGCTGAAAACTACCTTCTCTCTTTGGCTGCATTTAACCTGCATTGCGATACAACATAGCTTCCTACAATGGGCAGCTCCAGATAGCAGAGGTCAGAGCCTAGATTCTGCAGTGGTAGGTGCATTAGCAATGAAAATGGAGAGTCAGGTCGATGCTATTCAGCTCTCAAATAATTTGTAAAATTAGTGACATAATTTTCCTGTTAGATTCTCAGCACCTCGCAGTATAGATGCTACCTGATGTCTAGTTAAAGGGCAGAATGAGTGTCCCCCTTGGAGCTAGCCTTCATGATACAGGACCCGCTGCTGCAGGAGACTGCGTTTAGCAATCCAGTGATCCACAGCTTTCCTGATGTCTGCTTCTTTACGGCTTGGGGTGTGAGATCTGACAGTGATTTATTCCCAGTGAATTTTGTGTTACTCTTGAGTGTCTCGATCCTTTTCTAATCCTTTAATCTTAGCGACAGTAACTAGCCCGGAGCCTGTTTTGCTTTTCCCCATTTCTAACACGCTCCCACAGGCTGCCTGTTCTTTGACCCCCATCATTTCACACTTGGGCAAATGGCAGCCACGCAATGTATCTGCTCCTTATTCGAGGCCTGTGGTCCCAATATATGGGACACCACGGCTGCCTTGTGACCATGTTGGGAGGTAGCTAGTTCAGGCCCAAGATTTGGAAAAGCAAACATGAACACAAGGGAGCAGCAGACAGAAAGCACTCTAGCTCAGCAGTAGTGCTCTATGTTGCCAGCTACACTTTTCCCTAGTCAAGAATTCTGAAGTGTAATTCTCACTGGTTTCCTTTCCTAATCTCTGCTATAGAACCTCACAGATGTTCTGACTCTGCGAACTTTGCTACCCCAGATCCCTGGTGACATGCCACCTACCTGAGGTTTCCTTTTTCCTTTTGGATGACTTTTTCTCAGTTTCATTTGTAGTGTTTCCTGGTACCCCATAATCTTCATTCACGCCCCCTGCAGCAGCCACTAGGTTTGGGCTGCTGCTTTCTAGCTCCCCAGAAGCCAAGGCCAGTCCTGGATTTAGCCGCCTTCTGGCCTCAGACGCTGCAAAGTGCCATTCAGAATGCTGGAAAGAAGGGTGCTGCTCTGCGAACATGCGTTCCTCTCGGGGGAAGCTGTGGGGGGCAGTGGCCAAACAAGAGGCTGAGAAATCGGAATATGCAGCAAAGTCTGGTTTTTGATGGAATGAGAATGGTGCTTGTGGGTAATGATGCGCTCCTGCTGCTGTGCTGAGCTCCGACTGGGCATTCCGCAGGCACCCCCAGAGTGGGGTAGTGGGACGGGGACTTCGCATACAGCTACTCACGGAGGGATCCATTCCTGGCTCTATGCTGTCTGTGCTCCGAGATTCGTAACTGGATTTGGCTCAGGCTTCAAGGATACAAAAGGGGGAAAAAAACAGCTCCAAACTTATATGGAAAAACAGAATTGGATCTCCCCCGCCGCCTCCCCTAAAAAATGGTTAGTTTGTTCTATTGCAAATTTGTTAGTTTGGAAGCTTGACTAAACTTCCGCATAGTCCCAGCTGGAAAACCCCAACCAGATCTATGCAGCAGTTGGGCCGAACGGTTTCCCAAGGCCTGCAGCTGCCTCCCTGTGAAACGCTGGACATGGGTGAAACACTTTTTAAATACAGTGCCGGGCAGCAAGTGACAAGTTTGTGAAGTGAAATGTGAGAGAGGGGAGGGAGGGGTTAACCTGCATACACTCAGCCCCTCCAACCAAAGCAAAGCAGGCAACTATTAATCATCCGAAACCTTATATGCACATCTAATGGGATTTGCAGATGGAGACTTTTAAAGAAACATTGTCTGTATTTTTTTATAAAGGGAGAGAGCAGCACACAAAAAGGCTTTAATGTTTCCCTGCAACACTATGAAGTTATTTTTATTGCACTGTTAACAAAATTCCCCAAGTCTTGGATTTGGAAAAAGCCCTAAACCAGATCCAGAATTCAACAGATGTCAAATTCCAGGGACTAAAACAGGGGAAATAAAAGCAAGAGAGAACTTCACTGATTGCATTTGATTTAAGGGCCAATCATAAGGTAAAAAAAATTAAACCTGATATTTTTATCCAAGGTTGTGTGAGTGACTTATGTTGACTTTTTACAAAGAGGGATTTGCTGATATGTGGTTTCTGCTGCCAATGGCAAAGAATCATCCCTTTTTGTGTCCCACTTTCCAGAGGATTGTCAAAATGATACTTTTCTCCAAAGAAGTCTCTGGTTTTCATGCCAATGGGAGACACATTTTTCATCTTTTGTTGAAAGTTTTATAGTTTTTGTTAACAGAAAACAGATTCTCAGACCTTAAAGCCATCACAGTTGAAAGGATATTAGCAGGGAATCTGCTCTCCATCTCTTTCCCAAAGAGAAGTGGTGGCAGAGAATAGTCAGAACATGCCCTTCTGGAGAGTTATGCTAACGGTACTGTAACTTGTCTCAGGGCTGTAAACTCTAGCACTTTCTACACTGTATAGTTACATATATAATATTTCCATAGTCTGCCAGCAGTCATCTCCCACACTGGTTTCATAAGGCCTTGCTATATTGTTAGTCTAAAATATAAGTGACTTTCAGGAAGAAATAACATTTAGCAGGTGCTTGTTTTCAAATGGGACTTCAGAGAAAAGTGGTAGTATTCTGTTGCCTTTAACATGTCACTCAGGAAGGTGAAAGACATACAGCCTAGATAATGGCATATAACATGGCTTTTCCTTTACTGATAGACCACAGAATACTGAAGTCCTTAGCGATTCCTTTTGGAACCCAATCCCTTGGTGAATGTGACCTGGAGAGTTTAGCACCAGAGTTACATGATCTCTGGCCAGCTTGTGATACGGAACATTGATGTTCTACTGTACATAGCTGGGATGATGCATCATGGAAGAATATTATCACTTACCCACTGGGCTCCTGGACTTTCTTCAGAAACATAATTTTGCTGCAGTTAACGCATTGAAATTCAACACTAAGGTGCTTACACTATATATGGCTTGTTGCAAGAAAAGATGTTAGACATTTTGGGTTTGTCTGCACTGCAATAAAACACCTGTGGCCAGTCTGTGTCAGCTGCCTTGGGCTCGTGGGGCTTCAGCTGCAGGGCTATACAATTGCAGGGTAGACATTTGAGCTTGAACTGGAGCCTGGGCTCTGGGAACCCCCAAGGGAGAAGAATCCCAGAGCCCAGGCTCCAGCCTGAGCCTGAACATCTAGGCTGCAATTGTATAGCCCTGCAGCACGAGCCCCATGAGCCCGAGTCAGCTGACACGGGCCACCCATGGAGTTTTACTGCAGCAGGCTTACCCTTTGTCATCTTGCCTATCTAGACTGTAAGTTCTCCAGGGCAGTTCTCTCACTGTGTACCTGCACAATGGGGCCTTGCCTTTGTTTGGGGTCTCTATGAACTATTACAATATGAATAATTAATAATAACGTTTGAAGATCTGTAAGTCACGTCAAGCAGACAATGCAAACTGATTACAGGTCTGATTTTTCTGGCCATATCTCAACCAGGGCTCACATTAGTTAGTGATTTAATACTACAGATAGCAAAATAAACAAGCATTTTAAATCCCCTCTCCTCCAGCATCTTGGAACTAGCAAGATGATGTCAAACACAGTTTCTCAATCTCTTTGCTTTTATGTTGCATCCCATTCCCATGCTGTATTTTCTATATTTGGATGTAAGCTCCTCTGGACAGTGACCTTGTCATTACATATCTGTGAAGGTCCATGCTTACCTATATAAATAAATAATTTATTTTCTGAGGAAGTGATTTTTACCAACGTATACCAACTTGATGCTGATTCTTATGACTGTAGGTTCAGAAATTAGAAGCAGTGATTGGAATGTCTGGATGTCATGTTCTGAGATTCTTTAACATTTTAAGTTGTTTTTTGTAGTGCATTTGCTTTTTGAGATGGCATTTGTAGCTTGTCTCTAAGATCCTTGTGTAAATATCTTAAAGGGGCTTATTGGGATAGGTGAACCATGAAATTTTAATCAACAAACAAATTTGGAGCCACATTTTCAAAACACTCCCTACAAATTCTAAGATACAATTTTTGGTGGACAGCTATGGGCATGTGAACAAACCAAAATTTGTAGGTGTAGAAATATAAGTGCACAGTTACCATTTGTACATGAAAACTGGGAGCCAATTAAAAACTCTTTCATTTATGGAAGTTTTCTTTTGAAAGGATGCTATAATTTCTTGGCTAGATAGTGCTTTGAACACATGGAAAGCAGATTATTCTCCCAGCAATTCAGAGCTGGAAGGCTGGTGCCATCTGGAATATTGCCGTGAATCAAAATGACAGTGTAGGTTCAGAAAACATCCAGAAAACAAGAAAACAGAGGCTGCTCCCTCTGAACTATTATTTCTAATAATGCTGAAACCCTGGTGAGATGATTTCTGCCTTCATTGCCTGGGAGCTCAGTCTCTTCCCCCACCCCTGACTTCAAAGAACCACAAGGGAAATCATAAACATGCATTCCACTAACCCACTGTTATAGGTGGGCTATGTTCTGTGGTGCACTGGTCTGGAGCCAGAGTCAGGTGATAAGGATGAAATTAAATGAGGAAGCTCTCTCTTCAGGTTCATTTGACTGGAGTTTGATTGCAGACATGAACGCACATATTACTGGTAATTGCCAAATATGTTATAGCATCACTTCTTCCTAAGTGGTGCTGAGACCTTTTCTGGCCCTCTGAATTGCATATGGAGTGGGAATTATTTTAAGGAATCAGAGGAAAGGGAAAATGCGTGTTCACTCTGGTTTCTCCTAGTTCTTCAGTAGTGGGCCTATTCCAAATAACCCCAGGCTGGTCTAGTGAAAAATGCTGGGCTTTCCAATCAATAAGGAATAGCATCAAATCTCACTCTATTTTTCATGTGACCCTTGACCTTTAAGATACTAAATATCTGGTCACTGATTCATCCTTTAAGAAGAGCTATTCTTACTAAGGGCGTCTCTTGCTGTATTGTAGCTCAGTTCTAGCTGAACTTTACTACATGCTTTTTCCTCCCGTCAGTGAGTTCAAAGCAAAATCATGCTTAGTCTTGGAAAGCTGGTGCCAAGACTGAATTTATGAATCCTTTAACTGTTAAACATGATAGTCCATGGAGTTTGCAGAGTCCACAGGGACCGCTGTGCAGCATGAAGCACAAATGCGAAGACTATGTTTAGGTTCTCAGAGCTTTCCTGTGTGGCGATAAGAAAGACACTGCATGTAACAGGTATGCTAGTGTCCATTAAAGCTCTTTCTGTTGAGCTGAGAGGCCTAAGTTCTATAAGTATAACTCAAAATGTGTTTATGGTCCTTATCTAAGGTAGTTATTATTACTGCAGTATGAGTGCCCCACAATCTTTAATATATTTATTCTCACAACTGCTCTCCCCCCAGAAGGTATAGACATTGCATCCCTGTTTTTAAGGGAACTGAGGCACAAAGACTAGGCCAGGATCACAGAGGAAATCTAGGGCAGAGCAGGGAATAGAACTTTAGGTCTCCCAAGTCCTAGCCTATTGCCCCAACAACTGGACCATCTTTCCTCTCAGAATAAATTGATAGATAAGTGATGCACCCATGGCAGCGCCACCCACATCAATAGGTGGTCACATGCAAAGTGCTATTGACAGTGGGACAGTCACGAAGGAAGCAGCAATGAAAACTGCAGTGTGGCCTCAAGTGGATACATCTCCAGTGCTATTGGTCACTGGAGCGATCGATTGATCGTGTCTTGGCCATGGTGCAGGTTCTGATCTGGAACATGGAGCTGATTTTTTATTTGGTTGTCTCCACTGAATGCATCCAATGAAGTGAGCTGTAGCTCACGAAAGCTTATGCTCAAATAAATTTGTTAGTCTCTAAGGTGCCACAAGTCCTCCTTTTCTTTTTGCGGATACAGACTAACACGGCTGTTACTCTGAAACCGTCCATTTTTCTAATATGCTCTTTTCTGGGGAGAGAGCAAATGCAAGGTGCCCTCTGGGGCTCCTGGATCTGTGGCACTGAAAGCCTCAGCTGTTTGTTGAAGCCTTTTTCCTAAGGGCCCAGCTCAAAAAGAAAGGCAAACCCATCATCCTTTTGCCTTAGCTTTCCACCATCACCCAAAACACTTTGTATGAAACCTGATGTCAATGGGAATTTTGCCCTTGACTTCAGTCATGATCAGGATTTCACCCCATAATTCCTGGTTTCAGCAAAGGGGAGAGAAGAGAAAACTTGATGGTTAGTTGGATTGGTCTAGTTGACTGAGCCAGGGCTGGTAGTCAGGTGTCCAGGGCTCTAACCCAGATGCTGTCCTTGATTCCCTGTGTGACCTTGAGCTAGTCACTTATATTCCCTGTGATCAGTGTAACACTCACCCACCTGTGGGCAATGTTCCCTCTAATTTTTGACAGGCCGTGTGCGTACAAAATTTCTTCTGTGCAAATTGTTGTGCTTCTGTGCAAATTTTTGTGCGTGCGGTGTTTCGCCGTG